TTTCTGAACAACTTAAAGTCTAAGTAGAAAAGATAAGAAGAAAGTTAAGTTTAGGCCATGGATGGATAGAATATTAGGATTGTTTTATTTTGCTTATGTTGAGAATTGACAGTCTGTGCTCTGAAGATTTTCATGAAATTTTTAATATGGCTTAATATCATGAAACAAGTTTGGGTACCATAGAACAATTAGATTCCTCTTTGTCTAAGTTTTGAAGTAAGTAATGTGTTTATTGGATTATTTTCCTTTTACTCCCCTACAGAAAATGTCATCCTATCATCTTTGAAAAACTCTTGCATAGAAATGGACTGCCATTTCTGCAGATATTTATCCTGGTCAGAATCTTAAACAATATAAGAATGGCAGTCCTTTTCTTGTCTTAGCACATAGAATCAACTGTTGGCTGTCTTTTGCACCATAGAATATAGATACTTAGTGATCCCGGAAGATCTTGCATTGTGTTTATAAAGATAACACAGAGAAAAAAATAAGTGACTAGTTAGACTCATTGTTTGCACTCATGCCCAACCACTATAATGAAATGCTGCCAGTGGAAGAAAGTTTTATACATTGTCCTCAGTTTCATTGAAAAGTAGAATATCATAGTTTTATGTCTGAGTCAACTTTGAATATAGGACTATACTGAATTACACCATCCATATCAAATGTATATACGTGTATCTTTGCTAAATGTGCAAATACATGTATGTATTTACAAAGAGTAGAAATAAACAAGAAAATCAATTTTCTAAATTGCTTTCATTTAGTTTACCATCATTAAATTTCTCATGTTACATATTAGTCAAAATTATAGCTCAGCTTTATGTACTGAACACATACTGATGATGGGAAATTTCTGTGTTAAATGTTCCTTTGTATTTATGGGTAAGTGCACATGTACAAAGTAAAAATACTTGCATATTGAACAAGGAATTTTATGATTGGACATAAGTTATTGCAAAATCACAGATCTGTTCTGAAATGTCATATACAAAACAACTACAAAATGAGAAGACATGGATTTGATTTTGCTTCCATTGATTCTTAGCTATACCACCTTGGGCAAATTACTAACATTTTTGTATCTAAGGTTTCTCATTTGTACAATGAGAATTTAATGACTTGATATTTATGTTCTTTTGTTTTTAAAATGTGTCACTAGCATATTTCTTGCAGCCACATTTTTTTCAAAAAGAAGTTTTTACTTTTGAAAGCATGTCTTCTACAAGTATCATATTTCAATATTGACTCTTTATATCTTCAAAAAGCAACTTGAAGGATTAATTCTGTATGTATCAAGGTTGAAACACAATTTTGTCATAAACCTCAAAGCAAATTCCTAAATTGTTAGCTGAAGGGCACAAAAAAAAATTAGGTTACAAACATTTTGGAAATATGCCTAAAGAAAGTGCCACCAGAAAAATTACCAGTTTGCAATAGCTCATGATTTATTAATTTTCATGCTGTAAGCTTAAATCAATGGTCTATCATATTAATGAATAGCTCACATTTTAATAAGAATAATGTGTTACAAGATACCACCCCTCTAGGACAAATTTCATAGTTGGCATCTAACTCCCCTATATAATCTGTCTTCTCATCTTGGAATTTTAATGATCTATACAATTTGCATTCTACACTGGTATTATATCTTCATTTCTTCTGGAATTCCTAGAAGTGATTTATGATGAATGAAATTCTGATTTCTCTAGCACAGGTGGATACATTACACAAGCAAAGATATTGCTTAAAATAATTAGTAGCCTATTGAATATAGACTACTCATATACCATTTAAAATGTGGATAAATTTATAAATTTAAAAAGTGGAAAACAGAGATAAGAAGAAATGTTTACATTAACTGGTGATATCTAGTTGGATTTAGAAAAAAAAAATACCCAAGGATGAACTCCATTAAATGTGAGTTTTTAACCTTAGGATAATTATTTAGAAAGGGAAACCATTTGTAAAGTTTTATTTCTGAAAACACTGTGATCACTAGCATCACTTTTACTTTCATGAAGAACCACAATCATACATATTTCAAATATTAAAATGATAAAATATACATTACAAAAGAATATAGGCTCATTAGAAAAGAAATAAAATAGGCAATAGAAAGCCAATAAAGGAAAATCCTAAAACCCGTAGATAATCAGTGTACCATTTTACCATTTGGTTATTTTTCTTTTTTGTTGTTGTTGTTACTAGGGCTTGAACTCAGGGGCACTCGGCCACTGAGCCACAGCCCCAGGTCTAATTTTTGTATTTTTTTTATTTAGAGACAGGGACTTACAGAGTTGCTTAAAACCTCTCTTTTGCTGAGGCTGGCTTTGAATTCACAATCCTCCTGCCTCAGCCTCCTGGGCCGCTGGGATTACAGGTGAGCACTACTGTGTCTGGCTTAGTTATCATTCTTTAGACATATTTTAATATTATCATATCTCTATGTCTATACATTTTTCAGTTGTACATACATACTTTGGTGCATTGCTTACTGGCATATACAGGGAGCAAGCATACAGGCAATAATATTTGCATTTTACATTAGTTATTGAATACAATATTCAAAATAAACACAAGATGTCAAGATCTATAAAGGGTCTAAGATTGCAACCTTCTTACAAGTTTATGAGATGAACAGCTAATGATTTAAAATTTTAAGAATACAAGAGACACCTCAGCCCATGTAAAAGGACTTGATTTCTCATGGCACTGCAGACCTCATGAGCTTCATGTTTCCCAGGGCAATGCAGACTGTCCAGGCAGATGCTGTACATGTAGTGGGTTTGTATCACAGCTGGAAAAATCAAGGTGTGGGTAAGACTAATCTTTCAGGAGAGAGCTGCTAGCAAACTTGCCCTGTTTTTGCCCTGAAGGGAGATGTTATCTTTACCCTGAAGAGCAAACAAATCTGTACTTTACCCTGGAGGAAGACAAAATCCTTGTGAAGATAGCCCAGAACATTGCCTTTTTTCCTGAGACAAGCACAAACATAAGATAACCATGCAGAATTGTCTTCCAAAAAATAATGCAATTTAAAAAGATCTAAGCAAATCAAACTCCCCTGCACAGAAATCTGAAATTCAGAATAAAAGGATTAAATTGGGAGTTGAAAGTAAGAAGACCTTTATCTAATCTATTTAATAAAAGATAAAACTAAATTGGGAAATATAATTTTGAAGGAGAGGGAAAAAGAGAAAGAGAGACAAAGAGAGAAAGAGAGAGAGAAATGAACAAGGAGCCAGGGATAATATAATCCCCAAGTGTTCCTCTAATGATCTACTTTCTCCAATCATAACCCACCTGCATACAGTTGCCACACAGCAGTTCATGAAAATTAATAACTGATCAAATAAATAAGTTGAGTAATGAGGTTACAACTCTCATACTCTAATCATTTCACCTCTGAATACTGGTACATTGGATATCAAAATCCCAACACATGAGCTTTTTAGGGGACTCTTAATATCCCAACCATAATTTTTTTTCTGTGTATGTGTGTGTGTGTGTGTGTGTGTGTGTGTGTAAACACATACATATATAAAAATATAATATATATTACATTTTTATTATTTTCTATGTAAGAGACCTAATTCTTTTTAAAATTTTTTTTAGTTGTCAATGGACCTTTATTTTATTTATTTACATGTGGTGCTGAGAATCAAACCCAGTGTCTCACACATGCTAGGCAAACACTCTACCACTGAGCCACAACCCGAACCCCAAGAGACCTAATGTTTTCCAGAGTACTTATAAGTTTACTTCTTTAATCTTAAAAACAAATAAATTGGTTCTGTATGTGCTGATGTGGATTATTATCTATTGTTTGTCCTAGTGTTTATAATTAAAGACAATATTTTGTTTATAAAAGTTTACTTCTATAATTTTCTTGAATGTGTTTTCTCATCTATTTCTTAGACTAATGTTAGAGGGGTGGATAAAAATTGATTAAATAATCTTTTGTCCATTTTTATATCATGAATTATGCAAAGTAAGTTCAAATAAAAACATGGGTCTGAGATAGTTATCATAGATTTGGGGTTCCCATAGAGTGGATGTTCTTGAAGTTCTGTTTCATTACCCTATGTTGAAGTTAAACTTGTCCTGCTCTTTAAAAAAGAATTGCCTTATTTTAATTTGAAAGCTCAGCACATTTTTCTCATAAATATTTTCACCTATAAATGAAAAACAGACTTCTAGTATCTTGTTCATCTAAGTAGGAATGCTGAGTTAGAGGAAGGAGATGGTTTAAAATTTGTCCACCTAACTGCAACTGTTTTTTTTTTTATCAGAGGCATGAACATGTATTGTTATTTTTTCTTTTCCTTGCCATTCTAAAAAAATAATTTTAAAAAATTGACAATTCAGAATATCCCACACTTGGTTATAACAGCATCGTATTGCACTTCTAGTATTATCCTCTACAGAATTCTATCAAACTAGTTCAAAATGAATTTTACATGGCAAGTACCATAAGAGGCTCCATTGTGGCGATTTTTAGCATATGTAAACTTTTCTGCCTCTTAATTTATAATATGTTTGTTTATTTTAGTAAATTTTAAGAAGTAATATATGCTCATTTTGACATCTTTATGAAAGCTGGCAGATGGAACAAATTCAAAGATTTTTATCATTATGAAAAGGCTCTAAAGGTTTATCTATTTGAAAGTGATATATGTAAACATAGCAAAATGTAATTTTATTAATGTCACTGTTGAATTTAAATATAATATTGGAATAATTATTCTCTGAAATGTTAATTTTTCATGTTGGCAGATCATTGAGATGTTTTATTTCCAATGTGTAAATTTTCTTGCGTGGTAAAAAAATGAAAACTATAAGTGCTGATACAGACTTGAATTTTTATTTAAGCTAAAATTTTGATAGTCACAAGTTAGAATAAAATTTGTTTTAAAAGATGCACTACTAAAAATTTCATGTTTAATAATTTTATTCTAAACTGATTGTTGGGAGAGTTTCTCCATGTTTCACTCAGATGTTTGCATATTTTGCAATAGGATTTTTGTATAATTGACAGCCTTAGAAAGGAGCTACAATGTTTCCTTCAGAAACAGAAAACAGGATTGTTTACTGTTTAATAAAATAAGGAAAATGTCTTCTTTGGGGCAAGTGTCAGACAAATTATTAACTCATATACAAGCCTTGGTTTCCAAACCTGTGGTTCCTTGGTTGTGTTGCAAACACATTCTAGGAGCTTCATCATCCCAGATCACTCACTCTCTTTTGTACCTTAGAATCTAGGGAGAGAGGAGAACAAATGTAATTATGAAACTCATGTTATCTGCTGTTCAGTGAGAAATCACGACCTTTCTCTGACCTTGTCTCTTTTTCTTCTGTAAACCTCCATAGAACTGGCATGTTGACATCTTAGTTCACAAGTAGAGAAAAATTTTAGAGCTTTCTCTGTTCTAAAAACAGTATAATCACAGCATAATTTGATCATATATTTAATACTAACATATAATGTTGTTATTTCCTTCCTTATTTTACCTAGATATAAAATATTTTCTTCAACGCTTGTATTACTTTTAGTTGGTAGGACTTTCCTACACCTCTTACTCCTCCATAAAACTGGTTACACATTCAATATATCCGTGTACTAGAATGTCTGAACTCATGTTTTATAAATATTTATGTCTGTATACACAGTGTACAGAATAGAATATAGCACTCAGTAATTCAATTACAGATGACTAAATAAATACATGAAAAATGAATTCCATTTTTAATCTGTGTTCTCCATATGGCCCTTGATAGCATGACTTCCAATGAACCCAGGGAGCAACAGGAAGAAACAATTATCCCTCTGGAGCTCCTTGAAGTGGTTCCTTTCTCTAGGTCTATTTCAAAATTTCACTTACATATCTGAATCTGACCTTAATAACATTTTAAATGATTACATAAATAAATTGACAATTTAAGTAACAGATATATACAATTATTAACTTGTACTTTCTTAAGCTACATTTTTAATTTTTAAATTTATTTTACAAAGCAGTATGTGTTTGTGCATGTTTGCATGTTCTCATTGTCTTGGTCCCACCTTGAACATATTGTCTAAATGCACTAATGTCTTTTAATTTAGAAGATGATGCTGTAAATAAGTAGCATTGGTATTGGTAGGCACCATCTCAGGCTTTAAATAGAAAGAGTTTATGAAACTTACTTCTTATTCTCTTTTTATAAAAAATATCCATTATAGAGAACTGTCCTTCCTTTCTGAGACTGCTTTTTCTTTTAAAATGTGTAAAAATTGTCCATCTATGTTTGAAGCCCAATTACCTTAGAAGATAATGGCTACCTTATTCATATTTAGGTGAAGGTGAATCACATAAAATGTTCTGGATTGACAGCAGAAGGGGAATTTTTTTTTTAACAATAACATGAGGGTAAGAGCTTTACTGCATTTTATTTGAATAGTTAACCCTTGATGTACATTCAATTATCAAAGTAACTGTTAAAATTCCAAATCAAACACACACACACACACACACACACATACACACACACACACACACACAAAACCTCCACATCATATTTTTAAAAATAAAGCCATTATTTAGTTCTGTTTTTCATTTTAATTTTCAACATAACAAGAAATTTTTAAGAAGAACAGGATAATTTCATAATTTGCTTCTCACTGGGTGATTTAAATGCAATTTTTTCCTAATCATACATTGTGTGGATACTACATCCTGAAAAATGACTAAGCTTACTTATTAGTTTTCATAATTATTCTATAAATTTCATATATTTTCTATAAATTTGTTCTCTGAATAGTGTGACATTTTTATTTCTGTTCTATCCAAACCTTGTGATTTAAAGTGGCTAAAACTTCAGTAAAATATTATACTAAAGATTTAGAGTTGTCACCCATGCCTTGCTCCTGATCTTAGGAGTAATATAGCTAATATTTCACTATAAACTATAAAGTTAGTTGTTCATTATTTTATAGATATCTTTTATTACACTGAGAAGGTTTATGTGCGGTTTTCCAAGATTGTTTTATCACTAATTGGTGTTAAGTTTTTTCAAGTTTTAAATTTATTAAACTGATATGATGTATATTTTTATTCTTTTAATATTGCATATACTTTAAGTGATTTTTAAAAATTTAAACCTATTATATATTCCAGGATAAACTCCGATGATCCTGATATTTTATCCTTGTAACATATGGCTTGATTAAATTTTTTAATATTATGTTAAAGATTTTCACAACCACGTTCATGAGTAAGATTTGTTTATAATAATTTTTTTAAATATCTATGTAAACTTTTGGTACTGAGGTTATCTTGATCACAATATTACTTGAATGTGTTTTCCTTTTACTTTCTGAAAGTACATTCAGCGTTTGCAGTCTTTTTACTTCAAGTGTTTAATAGAATTTGCCAATGAAGCCAATTTATTAAATAAACATTAGGAATTTCAGATTTTCCATTTAATTTTGCCCTCATTTTTGGAAACTTGTTTATTAGGAATAATTCTATTTTTTTTTCAGACATGTAGAATAAAATTTATCATGGTATTCCATCATAATTCTTTTAATGTTGTAAACGAATTCTTAGTTTATTTTATGATATCAGTAATATTGCTTAAGTTCCTTTTATGTGATGAATATTTCTAGGCATTTATTTATCAATTCAATAATGCAAAGAATGAGCTGCTATATTTGTAAAATGTTTTATGGCTTCATGATATTTACTTTCCTCTAGTTATGGTTTTCATTCATGTATCTTTTTCATTTTTAGCTTCCTAAGGTAGAAATTTGGATCATTAACTCTAAAGTTTTCTTATTTTCTAATAACTCTTAATATATATTTTTCTCTAATCAGCGCTTTTGCACTTTCTCACACATTTTGCATTTTTTAAATTAAGAGCATTTCATATTTTCTCTTTAGGTTTAAAATTTTATTCTTGAGTGGTTTAGAAACATATTTCTTAATTTCCAAATATATCTGATTTTTTTTAGATTCTAATTTCTCATAGAGAGTTTTTTATTGTTTTCTGTTGAATTTACTGTGATCCGAAAACATTCTGTGAGATTTCAGTCTTCCATACTTACTGAAACATGCCCATCTATCATGTTGCTTGCCTTGGTTAATATTGCAAGTGTTCTTGAAAAAATTGTTCTGAAGTTGCTGATTGTGTTTTACAGAGAAAATTAGGTCAAATAATTCGCAGTTCAATTCACATCATTTATATCATTATTGTACATTTTACACAGTACAATTTTGCTTCAACATTTATTGTACTGCAGTTCTATTGATGAAGAATTATTTCACTTATAAGGAATCTTTAAAATTTTCAACTATGATTATTATTTTATATTTTACAGATCCATGTTTTGGAATTGTTACATGTTACTAATAATTGTCTTCTTGTGGAAGTCCTTTATTTTTTCTCATACTTCTTACTTTTATATCATATTTTTCAGCCTTTAAATTTAGCTTTCAACTTTTTAATATTTGAAGTGTGTTTCTTTTAATAAGGTATAGTTGAGACATGCAGTTTGAGACTTTCTGCCTTTTACTTGGAAGTTTTAGTCTATTATCATCTGACTTAAGGTAATCATGGATATAGTTGGGTTTGGGCACACCATTTTTGTTATTAGTTTTCTGTTTATCCTGTCTGCATTTGATCATTTTCCTCCTCTGTCTTCTTTCATTGCCTTGATGGTGTTTAATATTCCATTTTAATTCTTCTATTGACTGTATCTCTTTGCATTACATTTTTGTTGTTGCTCTAGTTTTTTTAACCTTAATTTATCACACTTCCACTAGAATTAATGTTTTAATAATAAGTGAAAAAAAAAACCAGATTGAACTCTATTTTCCTACTCCTATCCTACCACTGTTGTTTAGTGTATTTCCCTATGCATGCTCCTGTGTAAACATGGTATCACAGAAACAAGTGTTACTGTTGGCTTCTGGAAAATAAGTAGAAAAGAAGTACTATTTTCCGGAGTGGCAAATAAATCATTTCTTTGAACTCCATAGCCTTGAACAGCTTGTCTATTGCATCTGGAAATCTTTCCACTGGACGGTACAGAAAGACAGTGAACGCTGTTAATGGGGCCGATTCCATGCCAGACAAGGAATTTATGAGTTCCATAGCTTTGAATTTAGATGCCTGCTAACCTTGAGTAAAAGAGATACTGGTGCGTGTAAACAGCCTTGAGGCTCCAGGTGCAGAGAGGAGGAAGAGTTATTGCAAGAGTGATAAAGCCCCACTTGGACCAATTTCCCACAGCTCCTTTTTTTTGGGGGGGGGGACTGGGGATTGAACTCTGGGGAACTCAACCACTGAGCCACATTCCCAGCCATATTTTGTAATTTATTCAGAGACAGGGTTTTATTGAGTTGCTTAGTCCTGGCCATTGCTGAGGTTGGCTTTGAACTCTCTAACCTCCTGCCTCAGCCTCCCCAGCCACTGGGATTCCATATGTTTGCCACAATGCCCTGCAGTGTCTCACCTCTTGCTTACCTTGAAGAACACTCCTCACAACAAATTGCTTTGGTGTATTTCACAATAAATAAAGCATATGCTGGCTTTTTCCTTTGTTAGGATCAGACCCATCAGGTCTATTTCCAACCCCTGCTTTGAAAGATATTTTCCTGTGTCTTTTGCTTTATTTCTTGATGTTACTTTTTCTGAATTTTTATTTCCAGCCGGCCCACATCTATGAGGATTTCTTATTCCATCCCCATTCAGCAGGCCATGAGTGACAACTATTTCTATTTGTTCCTACATAATTGCCATATCTGGTTCTGTCTTTTTTTTTTTTTTTTTTTTTTTTTTTAGGTGGTGCTGGGGATTGAACCCAGGGCTCTGTGCATGTGAGGCAAGCACTCTACCAACTGAGCTATATCCCCAGCTTTCAGTATAGTTTTTATATAGCACAATTTGACTTCAATATTTGTTGTACTGCAATTCTGCTGATGAAGAATTATTTCAATTATATTTTACCTGAAAAAACTTTTCCTAATTAACCTTTTTAAAAAATATTTTAATGTAAATTTATTTTAGGGCTGATACTTTTGATTTTTCTGATGTTGTTGATATTAATTTATTCAGCACTTTAAAGATGTAATTATGTTGTTTTCAAGTCTAATTTTTTTTTCTTTTTTGACCAGAAGTCAGGCATGATTCACTTATTTGTTTTCTTGCATAAATGAGTCTCTTTGATTCCAATTGATTTCAAGATGATTTTAAAATTATTTTTGGTTTTCACTGT